ATCGAAGGGTAGAAACAAGGTACTCGTTTACCCCGTGGTGCCTTCGACGGCGAACGAAGCCACCCTGTATCGACCCAGCGACGCCCACCCAAAGAGCAACCCCCACCATGGATGACCTCATCCACCGGCGACCGGTACCATTTCGCCCAAAAATTCCAGAGCGTGGTGCGTCGCGCGCCAAGTCGCCGCTACTTTTTTGTCCGTGGCATGAGATTCCGACATGATTCCGAATGCGGATCCCGCATCCGCAGCAACTGTTGTTGACAAATCGCGCAAAACCGACAAGCTGACGAGCTGGCTTTTCACGTACGTGAATTCCCGATCATATTCTCGTGACGTGATATTACATTACATCAGCCTTTAGTATATACGATGATTTTCCGGTTTTTTACTACACACAATAGATACGTGTCTCGGATCAATTTTTATTACTTTTACGAGCATACCAAAATTATTAAGTAATTCTTAAGTAATATTAAATATACTTTAATATCTTTAAAAAGTAGTTGTAAAATTGTATATTTAAAAAATGAAAAGAATAGAAGCCATTATTTAATCAAATGCTTCTAGTATTTCAAAGAAAGAAATGCGCAGCATATCAATAACCTAATCGTGTGTCCTAAAAAAAATTTATTAAATCGTAATACATTTTTTTAATAGTACAGTAAACATTTATACTTACAGTAAATAAATATTTTTTCAATAAAAAAAATTGTAGTTCAATCTAATTAATAGTTCATATATCAAATAAATATACTATATTTATATTTAGTAAATATTTACTCACGGCTATTCAAACAAATATTTATTAAAATTTATAATTCTCTTTTCAGTATAAGAATTAGAATAGGGCCGTTTAAATTGTTTCAATTGTTGTTTGTCCAAAATGAAATATTTTCTCGAACTTCATATCGGATGATTTATAACTAACAACGTGGAAAAATAATTCATAAGACAACTTTGAATCAAAGGAGGTTACATAGTGCAGGAACGAGGTGTAGGACCTTGTCCTCGAAAAATAAACTATATAAATCATCCGGAAAAATTTATCACGTCGCAGTCCCGCATATATAAAAAATATGATAGAGACTAAACCGCTACTATTGTGGAGCCGCCGCGCGCCGGTCCCCATTTCATCGTGCAGACACATCGCACTTGAAGTGATTTTATTTTTCAGACACATATTGGAGGAATATTTCCCTCTTTCTTTCTCTCTATCCCGGAGCGTCTAATAATTTGTGATTGAGATCGATTCATTCACTTATTCATTCACTCACTCATTCATTCATTGTCTCGTTTACTGACCAGAAGAGAGACATTGACATTACATTCGCGAATGATGGTACACCGTCGACGATAAATATCCCGGACGGTTACGAAACTTTATTATGACATATAGTATATTCGCTCCTGTAACATACTTCTCTCGTAGTATATCTTGCCGTTATTCCCGAGAACGATGTATGCGCGCTTAAATTATTCTCTCGAACGATGACCCATCCATTTTACTGTGCATGCGTTATTGTACGCGTGCGATGTGGTTCGCCCACCCTGACATATTTATAGTCGAAACGAACCCCTGGTGCACCACTGGTCTAAATTATTTCCAAATAGCGGTCCACCAATGAACCCACCCTGACATATTTATAGTAGTCGAAACGAACCCCTGGTGCACCACTGGTCTAAATTATTTCCAAATAGCGGTCCACCAATGATGGAGGAGTTTTTGTTACCGCCCTTCACTTAACTCTGGCGAAAATCCCGCTCTTTCCTGTTCTCCCGTTTCATTTAGTTCCGCTTGCGTCGGGAACGGTTTTCCTCGCAAAGGAAAGGAAACCATCCGCCGGAGATTCTCCCCGTCGCGCTTCCGCCTCCTGTCGCGCTTAATCAGTGCTCTATATTGCAGGAACGCTCGTGTTATATTCTCACACGCGAGGAGGGCACCATCGATCCGCGCGGTAAATATCAAAATTTCACGGACTGACGCATGACGCAAAAATCGATCGAAAGGAGAACTAATGGATGCGGCCTGTTTGCACGAGTTCTTTTCGCAAGGCTAGGTACACCGAGCGCTCGTCATGCACTCATCATCTAGTTCGACAGCGAGCTGCTGCTGTCGCATTCGACGTGATGAGCGTTGGTTGAAGCACATCTCATAGATATTTTTATTGGTTATCGAAAAAGAAAACGGTAAATTACTGGAAGAAAATAATAATTCAAGAAACTCGGAGAAAAACTCCTAGAATCTAGAAATTATGTGAAACATAATTTCCTCAGAGAATAAAGTAATTTGCTAGAAATGATTATTTAAATCGCCGATTGTTAAATGCTCGAATATTGTTTTAATATTTCTGTCATTTTTTGATCTCGGAAAAATTGTTTCTATATTGATTCAGTAACTGTAAACATTTCTATAAAATTTATATTATTTTTCAGCCAAATCTAAATGATATTGATGCACAGTTCTCTAGTTTCTCTCACAATTTATCGGAGTAAAATATTAGCCCAATATGTCCCCATGCGTGCCAATCTTTAACCAATATGTCTCACCAGTGAATTGTGCTCCTCATCCGGAAACGGAAAGTTTACTGAAATATATAAAAATTTACAGCTACATGTACTGTTTAATTTCTTTGGAGTTTGATTGTAAAAAATAAAAATTAATCGACTAGTATCGATAAAAATATAACTCAAATTTTAATTTGAAGAATGAGATTTTGCATTTTAAAGAATGAGATTTATTCTAAAAATTTTAAAAGTTTAGCAAATTCGTTTTTTCTGTGTATTTGACATAAATTGACTGAGAGACAATAAAAATCTCATACAAATATTCACAATTAATTAATTAACATAATTGTTATAAGATTGAAGACGGTAAAAATATTAAACAATATTTATTAGATCTTTGCATCAATATATATCGACTAATCACTAATCCATTAATCTTTTCTGGGTGGATAGATAAAAACAGAGGATTTAAAAACAAGTACGGCTCAAGGTATCCCCATCACATGTTTCTGAATTTTCAAATAAATTACGTACACACTCTACAAGTTTTACATTTCGTTTGCATAATAAGGATGGGGAGGACGCAGGGATTCTGAAAACAGAATAGACGTTTCTCTGAATTTATTTCTTCGCTCACACGCGCGCTTCACCAAAATTACTGAACGAGACGCGTCGCGTCCACCGAGAAGGGAGGTACACATCGCGAAATATTTCTCGTTGGGATTTACGTATGCAAATAAAGCGAAATAATATCACCATCGAACTACGAACGCGGACGGACCCGTTACGACGAATTTAATTATCGATTTTCCGGAGAAATGAGAATAATCTCTCTGGAGTGCAGCATCTATTTTCGAAAGGCGATGCAATCAGGAGGTTGCGGTTTATTTCGGAGAGAGTTCGATGGAATATTATTATCGTAGCCGGCAGCGGTCCTTTCGTTAGATCCGAAAGGCGAGACCAGTAGTTCGTATCGCTCGTTCGCTCGCGCATCACGATACGCTCTTTTCGCTCTTTCAATACGCGGAACCTCCTTGAAATTCAATTCCCGTCTCGCGGAACGAGGAATGGGAAGCGTTATCGAGCGCTATACATAAATTGCTTAGGTCTAATCGAACGTAGCTTATCGACATCGAAGATACATCGCGGTGTGTAAAAGATTAATGCCGATAACGCGGCGAAGACGAGACGTAATTCTCACTGGCGCTCGACGGCGCTTAATTATACAGCACTCACACGGAAATAAATTACGATGATTCATCGAAGCGGCGATAAAATATTTCTCGACGTTACTCGTTATTTTAAATGTCCGTAGGAGCTGCGGTATGCCTTTCGTGCGTCTCCCGTCTTCCGTTTCTGGTGATCCCGAAGTCTCTCACTTGACGCGGTCTCTTCCACCTCGATTTCGCCCCGGTTATTCCTGTGATTTCTCGCGGGAAAAATTCCCTTGTACAATCAGGTACTTGACACATTTCGGATTTTTCCTTTTTATCTGTCCTCTCTTTTTCAGTCTCGCCTCTCTCGTCCGAGCGTTCTCGTTTAATTTTTAACGACCGATCACTCGTGACTCCGGTGCACAAGTCTTATTGTCGCATTTTCGCTCGAATTCTGATAAATTCTTCGCGTTACACGGACGCAATGCGGCGTACGTGGCTCTCACTTCTCTTCCGCTCTCTCTTTCTCTTTCTCTCTCGCTCTCTTTGCTCTCTCCTTCGCATAAACTTAGTCGGCGACGTTAGAAACTTTTCCAGCTTGTACTTTGGAGCACGAAACAGTCCTGTGGGACACTCGGCGCGATACATAAAATTCCTCGTCCTTTTATACTCTCGTCGTTATTTCATGAAATCGAGTATTTCGACATTCACGTATGCGATCACCGCGCGAGCGTATCGTTCGACGGAGGGAGAGATAATCGGATATCGGCTATTTAATCAAGTTGGTCGATTTGATTCCTAGAGTGGTCAAACGTTGAAATTTTGCAGCAGCAGAACCATGCGCACGATAGACACGCCCGGCTTTAAGCGCTAGTATGCAGGAATGTTTCGTAAATACGGCCGTGCCTCTGCAACTATTTCAGAGTTCACCGGTATACAGAGAATATGCATAGTTGGAATACTTCCTCGTAAATCGACTTGTAAGAATGAAAAGATTCGTAGGAAACGCCCAGCAGAAGATAAATGTCTTTTCGCCGACGCGGACGTTTTATCGGTCGAAGAAACGATAAACGGCTGTTTAATCGCCCCGTGAGAAACTTTCATTAATTACTATTATCACCATCATACCTATACACGTAAACGAGACTGTCCCACGTAATTGTGCACGAACGTGTTCGAATATCGGACTATTTAACAGAGTTTTTTTTACTCTTACAATAAAACCCAACGTTTACAGTTGCATGGTGCGTCAATCCTGCGCTAGATTCGAATTCTTTTTGTTCCATCGCGCTTGGCGACCGAGCGGTTGACGCCAGAATCGATGGCAAAAAATCCGTGTTAAACGCTGGCACGAGCCAGATGTCCGGGGGTCGCGACTGTGGTAGTTGGCGGGGTTGTCGTCGTAGTCGTCGGTCTCGGTATCGGGGAACGTTTCATGGGCAAGCTCCTACTGCCTTGTTCGTTCTTGACCCACGGCCACTGCAGAGTACGAATTAGAGTGTTTCGGAAGTCTTCCGAAAAGAGGCAATAAATGTAAAATGTGATCGAGTAATTGATCACTTCCAGCAGATTGGCTAGTGCACGGAACACCTGCAACCGAATACGGTGAATTAATGGATGGATTCATAATTGATGAAATCGTCTATTAGACGCGAGAATGTATTTAAAATCGATTACTGAGAAAGAGCATAGGCGGGGAAAAGTAAATCCTGATCGAACATTTTTATATATAGCAATAAAATAATGAGAATAAAAATTAGATTGGTAGAAGAGTGGAGTTGTTTTCGTATAAAATTAATTTTTAATTTGGAATTCAATTCTATTGTATGTATTATTAATTTACATTAAATTGTAAGCAAAAATGAATATGTGTTTTGTCGATAATTGCACTGAAAAATAAATTTTGATTAACATTTTATTCCTCAACAAATAATAAACGTTTCATATAGGAATTTTCACGCTAACAGAGAAATATGATTTTCAACAAATTCTATCTCTTCAATTTTGAAAAATTCCATTTTGAGGATTTCTTGTATAATAACGCAAATTCGTTAATAGCTACAAAAATGTTTTAATTAATTTTTTACAATATATATAAATAAATGTAATAACACAAAGCTCCTTTTATTATTTATATAAATTTATTGGCAATGAAAAATGACACTGATTTACAAGATTTCTGTTTCTCAACACCTAGCTGAATGAGAATTTAATGAGATATTGAGAAATTTTTGTATTTTTATATTTTGTAAAGAGTAAAAGATAAAAGTTGTGAACTATTTAAGTTTGTAGAACTCTTTAGAAATAAAGTCCTCTTTTAAATCCATAATTGATGGAATCTTTTAACTTATTGCTTTTTAGAGCAGTTAATAATATATAATATTAATCACCATTCAGTTGAGAAACAGAAACTTGTAAAAATTGTAAATCAGTATTAAATCATTTGGAATTGTGAGGTTATATGCAATGAAAATATTTGGAATGAATCTCCTTACCTGGTAAGCATAATTGTTGAGATTGCTCTCACTGAGCGTAACGTTTAAGATAACCATCGGACTGACGCAGACTAAAAAAAGGATACTAGTGCTACCTAAGAGCAGCATGAGCCTTCGTTCTTCGGCGAAAGTTCTAGGGTCCTCGTCGCTGCTGACAGTTCTCGATAGGGTCATTCTTCGGCGTCGCTCGCAGGATCTTCTGTACACTATCATTATTCTTAGATTGAAACCGGCGAGAAAGATCGTTGGCGCCACTTTATAAACAACTTCTAGCACCACCTTATACACCTGAAACACATATTTGCGTCATACGAAGAGAGAAGAGTTTCCAAAATTTAAAGTTGACACAATGTAGACCATTTTAATTTCGCACGTACAAACAGAATCTAACTAAATACCATACACTAAATATTCTAGGAATTCTGACTTTAATTTTAAAGATTAGATCTCTTTTTTGACGTTAGATATTTCTATGAATTTAGACTACTAAAAGGATATTTTATATATGTGTATATAATTAGCATTATAATGATATTATAAGTAATTAATTCTATAGAATACTATCGATATGTAAATTTTGTATACCTATAAGTGAGTGAGATTATTCAATATACAAAGCTATGCCTTCAAAATGATCATTAAGAGGCTCAATTTGCCACGTTAAAGGCTGGGACAAGTAAAGACAAGATATTTATAATTTGTCTATTATATATTAGTTTAGATCTCCTTGTCAATAGTATAATAGAGAATGTAATAAATGATTTTAATTTTTATAAGTAGTTGTGTCGAAGGTTTTGTTACTATTTTGTGTTATTATATTATATATTTTATTTAAGTATTATAAGGGAACATGCACACACAATTGGATTACAAACTCCGTATAATTTTTAAATTGAATTTAATAGTGTGCTCATTCAGTTCCTTTTTCTTTTCAGTTAATAATTATGTTATTTGTATTTATTATATATACACATTTAAAAAAATCTTTTATAATCTAGATTACAAATATTTTTATAATCTTTTGTTATTACTTTACATAAATATTTTTTCATAAAAAATATAAATGTATGAAGTATAACTTGTGTTACGTTAATTATGAATGCTTTATCTCTTTGTACGTATAATTTACGTATCAATGGAGCAATACTGTGTCACTCTTAAGAGCATTCTAGAATTAAGGAACAAATAGACGAATTGACAACGTTACATTTAGTTATTGTCGGCTTTAAAATACCATTTCAAAGTTGTTGCTAGAAATAAAAAGCAACTTTACCAGCAAGAAAAAGACATGAGTTACCTGATAGTACCACGAGTTGAGAAACGTCTGATTGTCTCTCCTCTGGTAGATTAGAGGACCGTCGGGTCCAAGCAGGCAAGTCGTAATTTCACCTCGAAATACACTCGGCAGATAAACGAGAAATGTAGCCAGAGGGATGAGTACCACTGTTAGGTGAGGTGGTCCGCAGAGTGGCTGCGTGTGTTGCCCGGGATGACAGACGCTTACGTAACGCTCCACTGTCAATGCCAGAAGCATCATTACTCCAACCCCTATGCATACAATTAACCCCTATATCTCTCGAATATAATGCTATGTCGAGTCGGCCTTAAAAGCCCTCTCCGTCACGTAGGCACCTGTGCGTTTCTACACGCAATATACACGTTAATCGAAAAATTTTTGCAACACGTTTCGTCGCCTCTGCAGATGGTTTAACGTTCTTTTCTCCTCGCGTTCCATTTTCTCTAATTCTCTTTCTTTGAACCACGCCAGAGCAAACTTTTAATCGCCATAATCGTTGTAACTTACAAGAGCTGCAAGATACGGAAAAGCAAAAGTTTTCCGTCGCGAGCGAGAAGTTCTGCAACGAGCGATCTTCTATTTCTTTCGGTGCGCGGTGTGGAGAACAGATAACGTAGATAAATTTATTCCTTCTATCCGTTATGAGGATCATATCAGTCGTTTTCGCAAGAATGACATTAACGTGAGATGGAAAATGCAAAAGGAAGAGAGATAGATGAACATATAGAGCGTTTGTTAATGTTCTAGAACAAGTCCTCTAAAAACATACATATAATAGAGTAATAGTAAAAAAATAAAATAAAATAACCGATGATAAGTAAGGAAAATAAATACGAGGAAAGAAATAGTACTATATATAAATTAAATTAAATTATAATAAATTAAATTAAATTAAATTAAAATTTGTGGAGATATATATAAATGAAAAGATACAGCATGCGAGCAAGGAGAAGCAGAACTCGCTAAAGTTCGAAACTAACAAGGGAACACAATCACGTCCCCTTCCGATTTAAATGAACTTTTAGTTCTATGGACAAAAAAAAGATATTTTTTTATATTTGCTGGGTTAAAGGGATAAAAACTTCTTTTGAAAAAATACCGATTTTTTTCAGAGTGAATATCGCCGAAACTATATAGAAACTACAAGTGTATAAAGAGAAATAGAGAGAAAAAAATGTTCCACAATGAAAATTGAATGGCTTCAAGAGTACTATAATAAATCTTTTTTTAATAATTTGTTTTTTATTTTAAACAAATAATAATTAAAATAGTTTTATTATAATTATAAAGTACTCATAAAATCATTCAATTTTCATTCTGGAAATGTTTTTTCTATATGTATTATAGTTTTAATGATATTCACTCTGACAGAAAAAATCGATTTTTTAAAAGGAAGGTTTTCATCTCTTTAACATGCGACTCAGCAGATATAAAAAGATACATATTTCTTATTTTTGCTCATAGGACAACGTGCTAAAAGCTCGTTTAAATCGCAAGGGACCGTTGATTATGTTCTCTTATAAAAGAGATAGATAAATATCGCTATTTTTTAAAGCGCTCTAGAAATAGCATTCTTTTAAGAGCTAAAATTAAATACAATGGAAAACTTATTACAATAAATAGAAACCGAATTAATAGTAAAAGTAATAAACAATTATATAAAATAAAGAAAAAACACGGGTATTGCAAAAAAATAAAATATAAAAATTTAAACGCATAACGGAGTAAATGTGGGTAATACGCAAGTGTAAGTGTAAGTACGAGAGAGACAGAGGGGGAGAGAAGAAAGGAAAGGAAAGGGAGAGAAAGAACAAGGTGATAATTTGTAGGCGAAATTTTTGCAGTACGTTTCGCGGAATTCTCGTCAAGTCGATAACAATTTATCGTACCTAAACAGCCATTCCCAAGAAAGAGCTCGAGGTGAGCATGATAGAAGGCCTGGACCCAGCTACTCCATCCCCCGGTCTCCTTGTGGATGAGCACCCTCAGCGCGAAAGGGATGCAGAAAAGAATCGCGAGAAGCGCCGCCGCGGAGTAACCTGTAACAAAAAGAGGAGCAAAGCTCGTGGTTAAGGAGAATAGTCGGACGGGGAAAAATAAGAACGAGAGAGCCCCGAGACTGAGAGTTAACTTGATTTCATAAACCCGGAACAGCGGGCGAACGTTGCGTCACGATTCACTTAATCATTCTCACAACTTTCCTAGAATATTCTGTCACCGCGGTGAAATTTTTCATTCCGCCTCCACGGGGCCGTCGCGTAGAACGACGAAAATAGGATTAAATCACTCTTCAGGATCTATTACGGGATCCCTGTGTTCTTAGCCGTTTCCACCGTTTTATACTCGTCGCGCATTTCATACCTACCAGTTCTCGATCGTTACACTGATGCGTTTCTAGACGCACTAAAATGTTAACGTTCCCATGGTAATTCTCCTTTCTTTTAGCCAAGTGTCACTTCTAAATTTGCATATACTTCGTTCAATCGTTGGTCGACGGTCAGTAGTTCTTTTTTTTTTTTTTGCGTGTTTCAATTTCAAATTAAAACTTCATCGAAACCCGCAAATTTAGACAATCGAAACGTGGATACGCGTTTTTTTGCCAATTTCCATTGATTTCCTGTTTTCATACGGTCTCATCGGTCGTGTAGCTCGTTGCTCCTCGTCTCTTGTTACGGGCTTTTACCGTCCATTGAAACCAATTAACGCCCGTATTTACCGTTTCGTTTCACGGAATTTCCTGATGCAATTAGATGTCGACGCTTTTTTTACTTTGTGGATAGAAATTACTTACTTACTTCGGGATAAATGCGACGAAAAGAAACTTTTTCGAGCACACTGATAAAGATTTCTTTGCTCAAAACAATTATTCTTACTTTATATCAAATTGACAAAATTCTTTGTAAATTATTTAGCATTAATATATTTATTGATAGTTATATAACTATTTATGAATAAAAGATGCGCATTCAGATTTGATGTGGGAACGTCCAATTATTGTGATTAATCATAGTCATATTCACAGCGACCGGTGCTTATATTAAAAAAAAACATTGGTGTGAATTTAACACCATGTGTATATAATTCTCACTGCGTTAGTCTTAATATTAACATCAATATGATATAGATTTAACACCATAGGTTTTAAATTTACATCTATTGGCGATAAATATTAACATCAACATATTGAAAGTTATATAAACTGGTGTTAATTCATACTAATATTTTGTAATGCAGCCAATTTTTTCATTGGATGAGCTTTGTGAGTTGGCTTGTGGTCAATCGCATTATGGTCAAACGACTCCCACCCTTTGATACAGCTCGGTAATCGGTTCTGGATTACCTTCAACCAATGTACGACGAATGAACTTCAGTAGGTTAACGAGGTTTTTCAGCTCCTGTACCGACCAAGAGCTTTCAACCGCCGATAAGCTCGATGAGTTTGCTGGTAACGCAAGCTTCTTCGGTCGATGATAACCGAGTGTTGGGTGGGAAGTTCAACTATCCACCAGCAGACTCTGTTACCAACCGACCTAGATTGCGCGTTCTGCCGCCACTTCGTACAGCTTTCTCTAAGTGCCTGTGGAACGGCAGTCACTTTAATTGCGAAGGAAAAGTTCTCCCTCGGTTCTTTCTTTCCCTAAAGTTTATTAAAGCGCGCGGTATGTACACGCTCGTTGAAGTATGAAAGTCGCGAGAATCGTCCAGAAATTGGTTAATGCCGCGCGAATGAAAGTCGACTTTTCCGTCCGGCTACGCGACGCGTCATGGAAGCTCGTAAAACTTTTACGTTGGAGCCGTCACATTAAGACGAAATTACGTCTTTCCATTTAAATTACGATTTCTCGTCTTTCGTCCGTCAGTAACAGTCAAGAGAGAACCAACTAAGTTTCTCGATTGGGTCTCTCGATTTCCTCGCGAAACGGTGAATGAGAGTGTATAAGGGTTTAGCACTTCGATCTACTCCCCTCGCGCTTTTATCGTTTTCTTGAAATTACTCTTTTGATGCGTGCTTACGTGCACAAGTTGCACGACATCGCAAGCATTTTGACAAAACAAAAACGGAGTAAGATTATGCAATCAGATAACGTTAGAATATTGTTTGTTCGTGTAATATTAATATTGGTTTATTGAGAAACTAAATTTGTCGAAAGTGATATATATATATATACATATATATAAATTGCTGTATTTTATCGTGATTAAAATTAAAGTAACAGAATTCTGAAGTCAAGAAATTATGCAATAATAATTGCCTAGCAGTTTATATGTACTGGATCTTTCACATGCATGAGGCTTTCTTTCTTCATCGCGTTAATGTAATAATGCGATGTAATCTAGTGTAAAATAAGCCATCCTAATAAGCCTTAACACCATCGTTATTTTTCTTTTGTTACGTGCGAAGAATAGAGTTACGAAATTGAACTTGTGCAAAAACTGGTATATAAGTTGCATTATTCTCTCTTAGTTAAAATTGAAGTAACAGAAACACTTTTCAAATTGCGAGACATGACGCAATAATTATTGTCTCGTAGTTTATATATCTACTCTTTTACGTGATTTTTTACTATAATTCTATATTTTATAATTACAATAACTATAAAATAATTTATTTAACTTTATGTACATTAATTGTATATAGTTGCTACCATTATGTCGTTTTCTCTAAGTGTATGCGAAGATTCGTTGATCCATCGAGACGTCCGTTTTGACGAGTAACTGGGAATCTCGTAAGACGAGAAGAACGGTATCAAAGCGGCTGTCGCGCGTCAATTACCGGAAATTACCTCGGCTTATCCGCGTTTTCCACTTTTCTAGAAGACGACCGGGCGGACGTCAGTGGGTGTCGGTGCTTGTTAACGCACGCAGACACCGCGACTGGAATTAATGTGTCAGTGACCCGCTTTTGGGTCACGATTCGTTTACCAAACCCTATCACGTTGATTGGCCGATTCCCCAGTGTTTTCTTGTTCGCCCTCATCCATCGGTTCACTAACAAGGAAAAGACACGAGAGAAGTGACAAACCTATAAAACCCCGATTGTTAAAGAGCTGACTGACAGAAATAAATCTTACAGGACGTACAGATATTGTATTTAGTGTGGACATCTCTTGAATGTTACATCGAGGAACTTTTACGAGGTACGCTGATCTTTTTTTGCCCCTTCAACAGCTGTTTGATTTGTGATATAATAAACTCTCTTTCCTTTTTCTTTACATTTGATGGAAGTACCAACAACGGATTATAGTGACATCTTTTACGAGTATTGTGAGTGCCATCATAAAGATCATTTAATGTGATAATAACAGCTGTAATCGATTATTCAAGAAATCACAGTATTTAAACTTCACAAACAATACACGATTAATTCATTCGATTATAGGCTTTCTTATTATCATAGATTATAGATCTTTGATTGGAGGCTCTAAGTTTTGACAATATTTTAAGTTATGTTATGAAGTTAAGCCATTTGATGATTGTGTGTGACAGAATAATATTTACTTCACTGATTTATGAAAAGAATTTTTTAAATTATGTTTTTTGAGCCGTGTAACTCTTGAAGTAAGGGAGCAATATTACGTTCAAGTTACGTGCTGAAATTCTCACAACTGATAAATACTATGGCACTCTAAGATGCTGAATCATTGTCACGCCTGAAGTTAATATCTTGCCTCCACCCTGCGTTCTGAGCAAGTGGATGTGTATGTCAACAAATACAGGAATAGTGAAGAAAAATGTCTCGATGTCTCACCGGGTGACATTGTCGCCCGGCATCCCACGGCGACATTTTACAAATCGCGTCTTCCCGGCATGTTTAATTTATCGAAATCCTGAGGGAGAAGCCAGCTGTAGCGTCCATTTGTCAACATCCCCGCGTAACTACGCTGCGCCGTCGCGCACCTGAACGGTTACTTTAACTCTATATAAAAGCGGCTGTTTTCGCGCAGATCGTTAAATGCGTCGTTTATCATGTCACGAGAGGTACACACGCGTTTGAATGATTCGCGGCCGACCGAGACGGGCAAATTTCAAAAATAGGAAATGGTCTACCTATTGGTATTGGTGCCTGTCGATGTCATCATCGAGCGTTATCTATGGAATGCCAATGTGTCCTACATTCAAAATGATATAAGAAAAAAAAAAACATTTTCTAAGACAAACGACAACGACATGACATGTATCCAGATGTTATTCCCGAATGAAAGCTAAGGCGATAGAAGAGATCTACATCGAATTGATCGAAGCCTAAACACAATTGCTTAATGTAAAGTAAAATTTAACAGTGTATGAGATTTAACTTTTTGGAGCTGATGCCAAAATTTTTAAAAGTTACTGTTGGGTTTGTAATACTCGTTTGATGTTAATTTTAAAATAATTTTAAAGAACTAAAATAATATAATTCATATAATAAAGAATAAATAATATATAAGTATACTATACGTAAGAATAATTCGAATTTGCAGACGTATAACAGAAAAAAATGAATTGATTGATATTTTTTGACAGAAACATTTATAATTGAAGTACTCTCATAATAAATTCATAATATCAAGTTATACCTAATTATGATACGTTAATATGAACATTGTTTACTTTTAAACTAACGACAGAAATAGATTGATTTACATTTTGACACATAGGAAGTTAAAACAAAATGTTATTTAACTCGAGGGATTGAGTTACCATTGCTCCTTTGATATCTAAGTTTCTTCCAATAGAGCCACCGTCAACTTCGGAAGGTTAATGTAGAGATATTTAGTTTCACCGCGTTAAAATTATATACTATATCTATAGATATTTGATCCGAGAAAGCGAGGCGGAAGTCAAATGTTGAATTTAGTACAGCATTTTTTCCTACAGTTCGCGATACGTCTCGTCATACTCACAGCGCTCCTGCGCCGGTATTCACACCACCTGTTGAAAAACGCACGTAATACGAAGTTTCCATTACTTCTGCAGACGCCTGATGCGTTCTATGTCTTATTCGTACCTCCGTCGAGTACAGCCGCTGCATTCATTCTCAAGTTAATAAACTGCTCTA